GGGGGGGGGGTCCGGCACTCGGGGCCCTGGAAGGCGGGGGGGCACAGGCAGCGCGGGCCCAGGTGGCCCGACACGCAGGTGCCCCCGTTACGGCAGCTCAGGCTGCCGCAGGAGCCGGAGTCGTACTCGCAGGAGGAGCCGGTGAAGCCCTGAGAAAGGGGAAAAAAAGAGGAAAAAAATGGGGGATTTAACCATTTAAAGCCTGATCCAAGAATAAAACAAAACAGAAAATTTGTTTGTTTTTTTGTTTGAATTCCTTTTTTGGGCTTTTAACAAAATATGTAAAAAGAAAAAAATATACATTTTTAATATTATTAATTTATTACTATGCGATAAGTCCAGATTATTTTTTGTGTAATCTTCTGCCCCCTGTTATCAGGTGTATCTGATTGTGTACAATAGGATTTTGAGAAAAGTTTTTACCATTAAATTATGCAAAAGTTGTCAGACGCAAAACATTTCAGAAACCGTACGAATCAAATATGATACATTTGGCATTACAGGGTTAAGGGGTGTTACGAGACCCAGTGGGTGGATGGGGTGGGGCTAAAAGCACAGGAGGAAAAAATTGAGGATTTTAGGGGTGTTATGTTATGAGACCCAGCAGGTGGGACTCAAACCACAGGTGGTGGGTTCAAATCCCATTTGTCCGGATAGAGCTAGGCCCTGCATGCTAGCCTTAGCCCACCTTCATGGTAAGGATGTCCCGATCCGAGACCGATCCCGGCCTATCAGAGCATGTATTCAAGTTTAAAGTTAGCATGAATCCTGACCCTAACGACACTTAATGTAGCCCCCTCCTCTCCTCCAGTCCCTAAATTAGCAGCAGAATAACTAATGAGCATGCCTGTACTAGGGACGCCCCGATCCAGCTTTTTTCAAGTCCAATCCGATCCCAATCCCGGCCTATCAGAGCATGTGTTAAAGTTTAAAGTTATTTATCTACTTACTTAGTTGTCAGACTCATGTTGAACAGGGATTTACTCTGCTAACAACTTAATGGTTAGGACACACACCTGTGGGTTACAGATCCTAATGCTAATGTATTATCATTTATTACTATTTATTATTATTTATACACTTATATCATTTATACACTCACCGGTGGACACTTGCAGATGAAGCCGTGCGGCGTGTTGCTGGCCACGGCGCAGCTGCCCCCGTTCCTGCAGGGCCTGCCTTTGCAGCCGTCGAACACCTGGTCGCAGCGCTGACCTGCAGAATAAACAACCCGCGATGGTCAGGGGCCATTCGCAGTTTCCCAGTTTCTCTGTACCGGCCGTGTGCACTCAGACTTGCATGGCTTAATCCTTGAAACTAGCTTATGCTACTAAAGGGGGCCAAAATGTAAAACCTGAACAAAGCCGCACAAATGAACCTTTTAATATGGAACAAAACTAATGTTGCTTTAACGTTGAATATGGAACAAACAGCTCTTATTTGACATTATATATAACTTAATAGTTGAGACATGCAAAATCACATTTGAAATTAAAAAAAAAAACACACATTAATGGCATTAATTTATTAAATAAAATCTTAAAAAATGTTTCTATTTCTATTTAAAACATTTTAAAAATGATAAAAAAAACAAATAAAATAATCAGCTACTGGAGCCACCCAGTGGCCCCTCCCACCGGGAGGCCCCGCCCCCCTGGCCCCGCCCCCTTACCTGTGAAAATGTTTTTAATAGAAATAAAATAAAATTGTCTTGGGAATATTGGCATGCTTTCCATATGTTTATGTTTATGTTTATATATGTTTGATACTGGGAAAACGTTTAAAAATAAAAATGATTTAAAAAAATTAAATAAAAAAAACCTGTTTTGGGAATATTGGCATTCCCATATATGTTTGTGTTTGTGTTTATATATGTTTGATACTGGGAAAACGTTTTTTTTTTTTAATTATAAAAATAAATAAATAAATAAATAAATAAATAAAAAAACTTGTCTTGGGAATATTGGCATGCTTCCCATACGTTGAAAATTTAAAAAAAAATAAAAATAAAAATAAATAAATAAATAATCGGTTACCGGACCCCCTCGGTGGCGTTGGCCCCGCCCCCCCCCCCCCTGCCCCCGCCCCCCTACCTGTGTACCCGGTCCTGCACTCGCAGCGGTAGCTGTTGGTGAGCTGGACGCAGTTGTGGGCCCCCCGGGGGTCGCAGGGGTCGGACAGGCACTCGTTCACGTCGCCCTCGCAGCGCTCGCCCACGTACCCGGCCGGGCACACGCAGCCGTAGCCCCCCACCCGGTCCACGCACCCCCCCCCCTTAAAGCACTTCGGCTCGTTGGTCAGCGGGTCGCTGGACGGGCTGCAGTCGTCCAGGTTGATCTCGCAGTGGACGCCTGAGAGTGTCGGAAATAAGTAATCGGAAATGCTTTAAAGGGGATGTATATCATGCAAAAATAAACGCTTCTGTTTAACTGTGCCTATGGAAATTGACACAGTGGACGCCTGAAAGTGTCAGAAATAAGTCGTCAGAATTGCTTTAAAGGGGACGTATTATTGCAAAATGAACGTTTCTTAGACTTAGACTTATTACTTTAAAGGGGACGTATCATG